GTCGTGTGTACGTGGGACAAACAGGTCGCTGTCTAAATGTTAGACTTCGAGAACATTTTAATTCTTTAAAAGGCCACTCCGGCCTTCATCTGGCAGCCCACTGTAAGAAATGCGGCTGCGCTCCGCTGTTCGGTGATACTTCTGTGTTGTTCCGGCATAAGAACCAAAGAGTGCGCGAACTTATTGAGGCTGCGCATATTCACAAGAAATCTGTGTCTTGTGTTAGTGTTCCCTCTGTGGCCATACATGATAAGGAGTTAAGCTATCTTGGTTTTGTATGACGGGTGTGCTATGCTTGATGTGCCTAAGTTTGGTGATTTGGTCCCTCGTGTTTTTTTCTCCTCCCCCTTTGCCCCCTCTTGCTTTTTTCTGCCTATTATATATATTGCCTCGTTCTTGCAATAAAGCGTCAGTTGATAGTCTGCGCTTGTCTGTCCTTTTTCTCTCCTTCTTGTTTCCGTCAGTTTTTTGCGCAGTTACATACCTTATGGATCAGTACCAACTAGCCCAACTTACCATTCTTCTGAAGTTTAAAATGGTGTCCCATTGGCTTATTTTCGGAGGGGTTCAGGCCTTGCTCAGGCTCCCTACAAGCGGGGGCACAAGACAGGGTTCGGGAGACCACTTCGGGACCTTGGAGAGTGCGTATGCTTTTAGCCTCTCCAGCCGGCGGCTCTTTGTCCCCTTGTCTTTCGTCGCCAGCCGGTGGTTACGTTATCTTGTCGGGGCTCTGGCTTCAGCTGGTGCGCGCTCTTTTTTGCAGTCTCGAAGTCCTGACACAGCACCTTGCGATTGTGCACCGTATGTTTCTTTTAACTGTTCCTATGTCTGTTCTGCTTATTCTGTTCTGGGGTGCGTGATCGCAATAGCGCTGACCGAAGGGTAGGTTCGCGCCTCCATCTTGGTTCTTTGTTTTATGTGTGCTCAATTTGTGGCAACTATTCAATATATCTGATAACTTGTATTTGTTATTTGGTGTCCTGTATAATTATGTCAATTACGGTTGGTTGTACTGAATGACTGATGTCTTTGTACAACATTCTCAGTAATAAACCAGCCATTGGGAGAGCGTCATCAAGGGTCTCCCTCATTGCGCGTGCGAGCTCACCGTCCATTCGTGGTGATGGTCCGAGCTCGCATGCGCGGCAGTATGGATGGTACACAGCGTAATGAGACAAGAAGAACAAAAAAGCAGCACCCTGAATGGAGCTCGCAATGCTCGGATGCACGGTGGTGTTCGGCGTGTAGAGCTGTGAGGATAGAGAGCCTGTGCATGGCTGGTGGTCGGTACGGGTAAATTATCATCAAAAGGCGACAAATAGAACAAAAGACGCCAACGAACAAACCAACAACACCCTCTTTCTGGCACACAACATCGAGCCAGGGGCCTAATTAGCCTCTGGTCGCTGAAAGACCGAGCTCTTAGTGGAATGGAGTAAGGTTGTCCAGTAGTTTAGTGCGTTTTGTCCAAACAAAAGCCGTCTCTCCCAGTGCGCGTTCATATCTCTTTCTTCATTTTTTTTTTCCTTTGCATCTATCCACCGCTCTCTTGAGAGTTGCCTGTATTATTGGTTGTTAGAGCATAAACTACCCTAGGCCAGGTCTCCGTTGACGTATTGTGATATCGGAAGAGGCAAGTGCCACTTTACCAGAAGTATTGAGCACCCGCTTCAATGTTTTGGCTGCGAAGCACAAACCAGAAAAGGCGTGCTGCAAGATTTCACCGAGATACAACATTCGATCTTTATTGCGGGGGTTCATTGGATAACCTGAGATCCTCATAATGCCGTTTCTGGGAGACTTACCCCCTCGTTCTGTTTCTGATTCAGCGATTTGGTGAGTCCAATAAACTTTCTCAGCGCCTCTACGCTTTTCTTGCTCAAAGCTCATAACTGCGTAATAGATGACGCACTGTTTCGCACCCGTGTCGCTGCTGGTAATGATTTCAGCACATGCCAACTAACGTGCAAAAACGGCGCAAAAACCGCCAAGCGGACCAAGAGGGGCCTTAAAACGAGTCCAGTTCACCAATAGGCAGGCGCCTCAGGCCCCCCCACCCGTCCCGTAAGTCGAAAGGGACGCATCCCTGCAACCCCGAGGCGATGACAGGGAAACTGTCCTGGCAGAAAGCCAGCCGTGGGAAGCACCAGCCCTCTTCATCTGGAATTTGGAGATGTCCTTAATTTTGTTTTAACGGTGGGCTGAAGAGATTCAAACGTACTGTGGAGTAACTCAGTTGTATATATTTGTAAATACCACATTTACTCGCGTAATGAACGCACTTTTTTTCTAAAAAAAATTGAAGCAAAGTGGGGGGTGCGTTCCCTATGCGGGACAAATTTTATTAAAACATTTTCGGGATGAGCAAGAAATGCAGTAATGCAAAAAAAAAAGTTAGGTCATTTAGCCGTTTGCAATTGACATACGCGTACACTGTTTGAAAACAGCTACTTTGTTGCACTTTACTCATCTTCGGTGGTTGATGACACTATCTTCTGCAAGCTGTCTCTGTGTAGCTCGCATGCACCATAAAAGCGTAATGCGGCTATCTTTTCCCGCAATCATTTAACTGCAACAGTGGTGTCTGCAGTCATCTCGAGGAGCGCCCAGAAGTGTGCGCTACGATGCACTTAGCCAACTTTGTCCCAACATCCCACGACGGCCGCGATGATGCCGTTCACATTGTAGCAAGCAACCAACATTGCAGCAAGCAACCCCCGAAGCATCGAAACAAACCGTCGAAACAAGATTTAACAAGATTAACGACAATATACAGCCGCCACCTCACTTCCACATGAGAAGTTCCTGTACGCGTGGAGAACAAGCAAAGTGAGAATGGGGAGTTCTACCATGTTGCGGAAATCGTCACCATCTTTTCTGGGTGACAAGCGATTTTTTCTGGTTGTCCAGAAACCTGCGAAGCGAGAGCGACAAACGACTTTTCGCAGCAGCAAATCCTGTCGTCGCACGAAAATCGAGTGCACGTCATCAGGCCTTAAAGTTTCGTATTTGCAGGAAACGACCGATGGTTAGCGCGGGAAGTGCGGTGACCTTTGCTCGCTGTGTGCTTATCAGCTGCGACGTCCGCACACTCGCACTGTTCGTGAACCCCTCTGTGGCACACAAATAAAAAAGGCGGGGAACCTGCCACACACAGATAGCAAGGAAAACAATACGGCACGCAGCAACAAGCGAAGGGAGCGAGCCAAGGTGGCCGAGGATATCCAACAGAAGACATCCAATGGGTAAGGAGACACCAGGTGTCTGTTAGCGGGACAGCAGCAGGTGAAAGGAGGGGGCGTATTTATTAGGCGAGGGGGAAAATATCCAAATTATGACGACTGAAATTGGAAGTAGGTTTATTATGCGAGTACATTAATCACGCGAGTAAACAGGGTAGTTTCTTCATATGTCGCTGGTGATGTGACCGCTTCCAGGAGGCAGGGTGCCAGAAGTGCCGATATTGCACAGGCACAAAGACTGCTAGTATTAAAACGAGCACGTGGAGCGGAGTGGGAGAAAAGGGTGCACTTCACATGGTCCAGATGAGCTTGGCTCAAGTTCCCATGCCACCTCTTTTACTATTGCTGACCGCCGAGACGTGTGAATAGACTGGCAGCCCCTGGCGCAGAGGTACAAGGTTTCACACCACTGCCTATATTATATTACCGGCCAGTCATTGGAGTCATACTGCTTGCATTTAGGTCAATTCACTCTCAGAGTCAACGTATGGCATAGCATAAAAGTTTGTCTATCACCGCTCTCTACGACGTCTGTCCATGTCATAGACAGGACATCATAGATGCCCATTTCGGTTGGTGTCGCGAATGGGCAGTGAGCGTCCACAAGAGGATTACCCCAAAATATTGAGGTCATTCGTCAACATGCTAGTAAAGACCACGCTTACTATCCAGATGAATTCACACAAAGAGACAATGTGACAGAAACCGTCGGCCCAAATGTTCGTGATGATTCGACTTATGTCTCCTCGATGAAGCTTTCATTCACTTCTTCAGGCTATGAATTTCCATGTTTCATATAGTTATTTTCTTGCAGGCAACTTCTCTTCATTATTTCACTTTGGCAGCGGCAATGTATGCATGCTTTTGGCAGCGGCGATGTATGCATGCTATCTAATCAACTTTTCTGGATTTTCGCAGAGGCTACTGCTTCATCCTATACCTGACTGCTATGTGCATCCCGCCATCTGCCTCAGAACGCTGTAACCACGGCTTATCTATTCTGTCTCGGGGACAGTATTTTCAATGTACAGTCGATGCAGTGAAGCATTGCTGACAGAACAAAACAAGATTTGTTATTCTACAACATTTTTTTGCAGATTTTGTCGTGATTTGTATGCACCAACCCGTGCCGCCTGTGGCTGCAAAAATTTTCCCACAGAATACAGGGCAGGCACAGCTACGCAGAGCACAGAAGCCAAAGGGTTAAAGAAGCTAGACCACCTGTCAGAACATTGGCTTCAGTGACAGCCCCTGTTCGAGGATTTTTTTATCTCATCAATCGAAAATTCTATTTAGTCTCAAGTAAATTATCCACAGAAATACAGTCGAGCCCACATACAACAGCCCCTCTTAAAACGAACTTTTGCTTAAAACGAACAATATCCGCATGATCGTGAAAATATACATTGGTTCAATGGCACAAAAATCGCACTTACAACGAACGTCTCCGAGCGCGGCTGATTGGTTGCAGCTTATGCCACGGGCCTTGGCGAACAAGCACACTGCTGTTTTAAAGGAACCCGAGACCACCCTTATCGTTTCTGTTCTTCGAAACACGTGCATCACGGACTTTTTGGGGCAAAAAAAGTTGTGTTTTCACTCCCAACTTTTTGTAAAAGCTGTGTTTCATTTACTACGAACTTCGGGATACAGCGAACGGATGCCACGTCACGATCAGGTTCGTTATAAGCGGGCTCGACTGTATAAACAAGTTTACCATGCCAAGCCAAGCACAATACTGAAAATTCCCACACTTACTGCCAAGCTCGGATTGGTTGACTAGGTCCCAGATTTGCAGAGCACTGTCTGTGGCTGCAGCCAGGAGGCAGTCCACAGCTGGATTAAAAGACAAGTTCTCAATGCGAGACTTGCCAGGTTGAAGCACAAGTTCAGAATTTTGGGGCACGTTGGGTACAACACCGCCATCCGGAATCCTCCAGATTTTGATCTGCAGAAGACAACTATGTCAAGCACAATTCACACTGAGAGATAAGAGCAGCTTACGGTGGCGTCGTGGGAGCAGGTAGCCAGGAGGCCGTCATCGTACGGACAAAATTCAAAGTCAGTTATGAAGTCTGTAATGCAGAAAGAAAATTGTAGAGACAACAAAGAGAATAAAACAATGCAATGTGCACTATAGAGTGAATCAACGACAGGTGCGGTTATACGAACATTTGGGAAAGTTGTGCAGTGTCAGTGGTCTCTAGGAGGCTGGTAAATCATGTCATGCCGCTTCGCAATTTTCTATCGCCAGTATTACATCGTACATAATAAACATATAACCTAAATGGAAACATCCTGTTTATTCCATCTTCTTTCTCCTCTGAGTGACCGCTGCCGAGCGCATGCCATCGCACAGGGCTGTAGTCGGTAGCAAGGCCTTATATCACATAACCCCTTTTGCAAAAAAAAATATATATATATATATATAATAATAACAAATAAAAGCACACAAAAAACAGTTTCTTTTTACTTCCTTACAAAGTCCCTTAATTCCTTTGGGGTATTCTTTTCTTGCTAGTTTCTTATGGGTGCATCAAATCCTGAGAGACTGGTTGAAACTTGCATGCCCTCTGCAGCAAATGATCAAGGGTATGCATTTTCATGGCCATCCACTCAGGATATGTCCGGTTGTGGTGCACTAGATGACTGATTAGATGCAGGTGGCCAGGTCATAACAGCACAGGTGCCCGATATCATTTTGTTGACTGCTCAGAGTGAACTGCGACTAACATCTAACGTAGATGCGTTCCCCACATGCCCCTCTTCCAAGAGGTACGAGGTCAATCAATGTTTTCCAATCTTCTTGGGCACAGAGAATTGTGGAGACAGCTTGCCGTGAACTGCAGGCATCTTAACATGCACATAATCCCCAATGGCAAAGCTGGGTTCCTTTGCTCCATGTTTTTCATTGGCGTAGCTCTTCCAGATCCTTTGCTTGTTTTTTACACGCTTTCGCAACTGCGATACCGCTCTTGATGGGTCCGTGCTGAAACATCTGTCGGGCAATCCCACTATGTCAAGTCTAGTGCAAGGCTCGCATCGAAGAACTGTGGGTGCCGCACCATTAGTCGCGTGAGGTGTACAGCGATATACTTGCAGGTGATCAAGCATGGCTGTTTGCATATCACGACGTTCGAAACAGAGCTAGTTGAATATACGACTTTATCACCCTATTATATCTTTCCACCAAGCTGTTAGCTAGTGGGTAATACACAGAAGAGCTTTAATGCGTTAATCCATGCTCTGTGAAAAATTCGTCAAAGCTTGCTGAAGAAAACTGTGGTCCATGATCGGATACAATACCAAGTGGGTATCCTTCTCGCGCAAAAAGTTCAAGTAGAAACTTCTTCACTGTAGACGTGATCGCATCTCGTACGAAAGCCACTTCAGGCCACTTGCTATAATAGTCATTAACAGTAATTGCAGGATGGTAGCTGGCCAAAGCTTGTGTAAAAGGTCCCACAATGTCTATGGCAATTTTTTCCCCCGCTGCGTCAGGAAGAGGAACAAGTTGCAGTGGTGCTCCAAAGCTACATGCATACCTGTCACAAGACTGGCAAATCACGTATCTGCACACCAGTTCTTCAATGTGGCTATCCATGCACGGGCATCATTAAGAATCTCAAAGCCGAGCTTTGGTACAACTAATGCCTGGGTGTGAATCGTGGGCCAGATCCGTAAGACTGTGTGTCGAAGTCGCCGGCATGACAATACTGTCACCGCGGTATAGAATGTCACAACATACAGTTCAGACTTCACATAAAAGTAAGGAAGCAACACCTTTGACAGGGATTTTTTGTCACGCCAAGAAGCAGTCGTGAAGTGCTTAACTGGACAGACAACCTAATCATCGGCACTTGCTTCTTAAAGTTCTTGCATGGTCACAACTGGAGACAAAAGGCATACGAATTCTTCAGGTGCACCGTAGAGTAAACTCTGGGCAGCCGGGAGAGAGCGTCAGCCACAAGGTTTTTGCTGCCCTTCCTGTATTCCATGGTGTAATTGTAGCAAAGCAACCGGGAAGACCAGCGCACTATCCTTAATGAACCTGTACCTTTCGCTGAGAGGAGCGTAACCAACGCCGCATGATCAGTCAGTAGGATGAATGGCCTGCTTCACAGGTAAATGTGCCAATGTTCGCAAGACCAGACGCAGAGAAGAGCCTCACGTTCGCCTACTGAGTACTGCAGTTCCTGTAGTTGCAGAGTACACGGGGTGAACACGGCAGTTTGCAGTGAGGTTCCATTATCCTGCTAAAGCATTGCACCTAATCCATATCCTGAGGCATCTGTCGTAACATGCACACGTAGATGAGGATCGAAGAGATGAACTCCACAAGATGTTGGCAGGGCTTTCAGTTGCTCCAAACTGCTTTGTGCTGCTGCAGTCCAAACGAAAGGCGCATTTTCTCGAAGAAAGGCACACATTGGCTCCCCAACATCAGAAAAATGCGGAATGAGCTTAGAGTAAAAACCTGCAAGTGCCAAGATTTAACGCAGTTGGTCGATGTTTTTAGATGAAGGCGCCTTGGTTATTGCCTCAATGGGTGACATTGGTGAAAATAATCCTCTAGCACTGAGAACATGACCAAGGAAAGTCAACTCTATGACGTCAAAAACACACTTGTGATTGAGCCTGAGGCCTGCATCAGAGAGCCGTTTCAAAACAGCATACAAATTGCACAGATAATCCTCTCGGGAGCATCAATGCACAATTATATCGTCAATGTAAAACAAGACGCATTTGCACCCTTTTATCATATGCGTCATTTTTTGAAATGCCGAGGGCGCCGATGCCAGTTCGAAACAAACCCTCTTGAAACGAAAAAGTGCGTCATGAGGGTGGTAAGGTCGCGGATCTCTATACTGAGTGGTAATTAGTGGTATGCAGAGTACATTTTGGTTTTGCCAACCTTCTAATGGTTCACTTTTTGAGAATTCAAAAAGATCATCAGAGATGACGCTGCGGGCTGTGTTCATGGATCTAAGTGGGCCTAATGATACTGGGACATCCCCGAATGCAACAAATTTAGAGAGATTGTCATACTGAAGCTTGTTGTGGACCTCCAGAAGCAGGTCGCCGCTTCCCATCTTGGGGACATTAAATCCTGGGCCAATTGCTTTTGTTAGGGTTTTCGATACAAGAGAAACTGATCGGACTGTATTTTCTCTCTGGCTATGTACAACATGATATTTGGCGAAGGATTGCTTTGGTTTTGAGAATAAGAAGAGTTCTTCCGTGTGCAACCTTTTCGGGCGATGATCAAGGAGCGGGAAAAAAAAGTTCTATACAGGGAATATTATTTTCGGCGGCGATGGTGGTCACCAACCACAGAGCCCAACAAGGGGACGCTGCAAGGTAGAACACTTGAAGACACCAGCCATGCATCGCCACTATAACCATACATAACTACCCAGGTTTGAGCAATGACACAGGGTTAGCCCTAGCCGCCAGGAAATTTATAAGTAAACAGAAAAGAGAAGGCGACAGGACAAATAAAATGTTGGAGATCAAGACGAAGATGTCGGGAAAGAGAGATAGGAAAAGGCAACTGCTGATTTCACCTGGGTTGGTCAGCCCAAATGAGCTAGCTGCCTGCATGAAGCCGGGGCCAAACGGGTGTGTTGTCTTCGGCGGGGGGGGCCTCAAAGGTCCAATCGCCCAGTGTCAATACAGAGTTCTCTCTTTGCCACTAAATTGTTCAGGATAGCATGCGCAATCCAGTGTCTGCAATGTGGTGGCTCGGCTGATGATACGATTACATGCGCAGTGGCGGAAAGGTCTGCACTGAAGTGGGCATTTTGCCTCCTCGAGATGCCTTGTTCCCTCTTGCCCCTTTTGGGGAAGATTCCTCCTCTCGATCCAAGGACACACATCACTTTCTCGGGAGCCTGGTCTTGGGAGGTGCGACTGACCGCATCTTATTCAAGCCAAGAGCGCCGCCGCCGCCATCAGCCCCCGCAGTGCCCTAACCATGGTGCAAACTACTGCGCTGTACCAGAGTGCAAATGCACCATGCACGGTCAGATGAACAGTAACATCATTCCCAAGACATAAGCTTACTATGCGTTAAGTCGTTTTCCCCCAGTAGTGCAGAACGCTCTGCCGCTGAGGTGTTATTTTAGATGTGCTACTGTATTGCACGCAATTGGCAGACGTGTAACTGAGGTGAATGAACACTTTCAGTTAAAACTCGTCCCTGTTTTTCATCGGCCTGGAACCCATTGTGGAGGCAACTCAACTCAAACAGCAAGATAGGGGGTCGCAGCTTGTTGTTAGGGCTGTTGTGTAGGTCGGCACTTTGAGAGACGACTCATTCACCACAATTTTTTCGCCCTTTTGCACTCTCGCCTATTGACACTCATAGGTCTTCACTCATGTTCCTACTCACGCCTACTCACACTCTTGAATATTCACTCATGTTCATACTCGCGACTACCGATACTCATGAGTACTCACTCATGTTCATACTCACGACGTTCAAATGAGTGTGTGTGAGTACTCATGAGGGAGTGTGCCGAGCTATGAGTACTAGCAAAGGCGACTGCCCCACTGACAGAGTACGAAGTGATCCAAACGAGGGACAAGGTTCGTATATGCGCAACTATTTTAATGACATGCACTAAAGGTATCAACTGTTACATGTTATTAGTGGATAAAATGATATGTGGTTTTTTATTGGTGCAAGGCCATACTTGGCCAAAGAGCGCCAGGAAAAAATTACAATAAAATAGCAATGATGTGTGGTTTGTGGTGACAATGTTGGAGATGCGAACTATGAGGCTATTATGTGGCTGTACAGGGGCCTAGAACTACCCGCCCTACGGCAGGTAAAACATACGAGTATTTAAAATAATGAGGGTGACATGAAATGTTATTTGTGGATATGAACTACTAAATTTAAACATCAAATAGTGTACACTGAAATATTTGCGACCGTTATTTCACTAACATATTTTAAATAGGGCTATAGAATAACCATTGAACACTTTCAACCGTGCATTCTTATGTAATGCATCACAGCACCTACACAAACAAGGCTCATATAATCTATAGAACTACCCTGGCCATG